TCTTGCTCTCTCACTCTGTCTCCTTCCCTCCCTTCTTCTCCCTCCCCCTCCCTCCCTCCCTCTTTCTCTCTCTGTCTCTCTCTCTCTGTTACTCTCTGTCACTCTGTCTCTGTCTCTGTCTCTCTCTCTCTCCTCTCCCACCCTCCATTTACACACCCACCCATCCACAGAACAAACACAGCACCTTGTTCACAATGAAACTTTATGTTTGTTGAAATGGAACAAATTCACATGAAACTCTATTACTTTACTGCTGTTCCTACAATAGTGACATACACCATATTGTTTTATACAGAGGAGGGGAGTCGTTATTTAATTACATTATCTTAATTCTTTAAAAGACCTACAAAATTCTTGAGTTTGAATCTTTTTAAGTTCTGACTACTTGGTGATATAATTATTTGATCATTCTCATTGCTTGAAAATATAGGGATATAATATCTTTGTTAAGGTTAGAAACATTTTCTCAGATGATATATGAGAATATCATGTTGAACATTTGGGCCAATAATCTTTTGGATCAGTGAGCCTACTTTTAAGCAAATGTTCCACCTGTCTTATCTGATCATCCTACATTAAATGGATTTAATGTCTATTTAAATGTCATTTAGTGTTAAGTGTATTTCTACATAAGATAGTTCATAAATTTTTCCTAAGGAATGAATTTAATTTTTTAAATCATCTACAGTAAACTGGAAGCATATGATCTCAGCAGTTCACTTTGGTCTCAGTTTTTTAGATGCCAAATGCTGGAGTGTGCTATTTTTTCTTGGGACTGGCCAGCTAGCAGAAGGTTGTTCAAATATTTGCTCAAATATCTAATCTACAATAATAGAAAAGTTAACAAATTAATTTCATCTTTGATGAGTTTGGTAGAAATTTATGTGTATTCATTAACATTTTATCTAGTTGGTTTGTACTCCATTTCTCTGTCCCTCTACCCAATTTCTTCCCTGATACATGAAACTACCCCCAAGAAACTATGGCAGAACCAAATAATGGGCTAATTGGTAGGAGTGGCATCAGTCATCCATTTGGAATAAATAGAGCTAGTTAACCCTCCAAAACTTTATAATATCAACATTTTTGCCTCATTATTACTCTTCTTCCCTATTTTTACTTTATTACTCTTCCTATTTTTTTTATTTCTCTAACCTTTCACCCTTGCTTTCCCTCTATTATAATATATTCCCATGAATGATCATCTCTTCTCTTATTCTTATCCCTAAGAGCTTCTATTCAGTCCACAAACATTTGTTCAGCACACTTCAGCTCTTAACCTATTTTAACTTTACTGTTAGCCCTGCCTATTATACCTAGCAAAAACCATCTCCTGGCTTTATCTAAAAACCATTATTTTTCAAGCATCCAGCCACTTCCTTCAAAATCTTAATGTCCAGCCCTTCCTTCAAAAACTAAATGACATTGCTTCTTCCTTAATTTCCACATACCAATATCTAATTCCAGCCTGTTCTGTCAGCCTGACTCTTACTGCTCCCAGATAAGTATATTCATTCTAAAAGCTAAATTTCTTGCCATTTCCTAAATGTGTACACAACCTGTGCTTCTTTGCATCTTGACTTCACTGAGTCTATTCTTCCTCCCTAGAATATTCTTTCTACCACTTTTACCCACTGAAACCCTTCCACCTTTTAAAGCATGGGTCTTAATCCAGAGGGGGTCTATAAAATTCTGAGAAAATGATCACAAATTTTGTAGATATTCTTAAATACATTTTTTCACAGTTTTTATTACATCTTCAGAAAGGGTCAAGACTCCCCCAAAGTTATAGAATACTGTTTTTATTTATTCTGCCTTTCTGAACTATACTTTATTTCTGATCTATATAGCCTTGTTTATATAATTACATATTTATTCATATATATTTATACACACACACACACACACCCACACATATATATATTCTATCTATCTTACTAGATTGCCGCATCTGTTGGATTATGAACAGTTTTTTTTTCATGGTCCTTCACATACTACCTTATATAGGATAGGTATACAGTGACTGTGTAATAGATAAAACCCATCTTTTAAAAAACACAGTTAGGGCTATGATCCTTTCATGAGATTAGAATTCCCTTCAATGTTTTATGAATGAATATAATAAATGCATGTTATGTTTTTTGTATGCTTCCTGGGTGTCCTTATCATAAGATGGTAATTAAATATTCTGGTTATGCCTATGGACTACTTAATAAGCCTCAAATAATTCATGGGTATTTGGAAGCCTGTAGGTTTCCATGTAGACTCCAATATGTATGCTCTGAGGCTTGTGTCTTCCCTAAAGAAAAACTCAGTGTTCATTTCTTGTCTTGTCACTTATGTGTTTCTTCCTTTCTCCTCCCTGGGCTTCACAAATTTAGCACAGGTCTAAGTCAGTTGGGCAGAAGATTCCTAACGCCAAAATAAATAACTTATTTAAGAAATCTATATTACAAGTGACAAAATTCTGAAGGTCCAAGGCATTCTAGAAAGTAAATATCTCTATCCCTAGGAAATCCAGTTTGACCCACATATCTTCTTGATCCCTTTCTGCTCCTTTCCAAAACTCTTCAAAAACTAGCCAGAAATGAGAGAGCCATTTCCTAATAGCCTGGCCTTCTAGGAAATCCTCTGGAAATCCAGGACCATTGTAGACTAGCAACTTCAGTAATAGAAGCAGACCTCAAACAAACATTTTTTTTCGCAACAAAGTAGTGTTGGTTTAGTCAACTGAAAATTACATAACAAGACTGGAGCCTGAACTTCTCCTTCATTGGTGCTCAACTCTATATATTATATTCTGAAAATGTTTACCTTTCATTTAAGCCTATAATATCATAAGTTATGCATCATTTTATTTTCGCTTATAGAGAGAAATCTTACATCAAGTTCTCTGTACTTAAACTTTAAAGAAAATGTAGAGTTTTAGCAAATTAGGATTTTGAGCAAATTCTTCCTAGAAGTAATTTATATGCACATGAATCCTTTCAGCTATTTTCTGATCTATGTTTTCTCTTTCAAAACAAGAGCATTTATTGATCCCTTATTAAGAGATGTTATACCAAAGTTCTTTATAGTTTTGCAGTTTAGTATTTTGGTAAAATGCTTGTTTATTCATTAAATTTACATTAACTTTTTCTATAAGGTATCTTTTTTTATTTGATCAATATCACTTTCTTTCGTGTATTTTCAAGTATATTGATAAACTACATTAACACCCCATCTGGCAGAAAGAATGTTTTAGACCATTTGCTTATTTTTGTGATTTTTAAAAAGTTACCGATAGAAGAAATTGAATTACGTCTTCTTATGAACTAATTTAATATCTATTTTAAGATTTTAAAAAATAATTTTTCAACCTAACATACTCTTCTCAGTATTACATTTTATTAACTCTAGGGAAGAATCAGCAATGTGGGAAAATAATATAAAATAAAATTAAAACTATTAATTCCTAAGTTGTTTAGAAGAAAATTAGATCTAATGTTGATATAATTGACCATAAAAAATTGGAAACTTGATAGAAAATTAAAAGTCTTTGCTATGGTTATTACTTTCTATCATTTTTCTTTGTGTGGGGACCATATGTTAAAATTCCAAGGCATCATCAATTTCTGTAGCTAAAGTATAAGAAAAGTGCCATGTTTCAGAGCCTTAAATACTTTTATAACATTCTGGATTGGTAATTTGGTCAGATTGTTAAAATAAAAATAATGAAATAAATCTTCTCTCTTAAATTGCATAGTGTGATTCTTTAAAAACTTTGTTACTTAACCTAGTATTCAAATACATGGTGTTCAGTACCTGTTTTTTATGGAACATGCATTTGTATCAGAAGCTGAAAGATAGATATCTTTAAACACAAGCTTATCAAGAGTATATCACATTTATCATTGGCACTTGCTACTTAATTAAGGTTTTATGATTGCTCATGATATGCTGAGATTACATGGAAGAAAGTTATTTCGTTGGTTGTTCCTTTTCTCTGTTGGTTCTGAATTATTTTTCCTTCTACATTCCATTTCTACTGTCATTTCTAATAACTTTCCCTCACCACCACATCCTAAAATATAATCTAGGGACCATCATTATCTCATAATGCTTGTTCATACTAATGACCCCACCACTTCCAAATATTAATATAAGATTAAGAAAGGGATGTATAGATTTAGTAGTTTTTGAACATTAATGAAGGATCTTTGTACATTTGCATTAAAATACTAATGCATCTTAAACTTGGAATATAAAAAAATAAAATCAGAATCTGCTGTTTGATTTTTCTTTTGACAGGATAGAACAAATATTGAGTACTCTTTAGATGGGAGACTATTCAGAAAGAGAATGGTTTACTATCCCACATCTTGAACTATGAGAGTCAAAAATGCTTTTTTATAACTAGAAAAACACCGGGGTTCCTGCTCCTCAGGTCTCCATTCTGATTATAATTACAGAATGTTTTAAAAAGGTCTACTTTGTAATTGGACTTATTATTAGTGTGCATATTTTTATTTTATTCTTGGGGTGGGGGAAGAAATGGGGGGAAAACACATTTAGTGATAGCTATTCATTAGCCACCATTGAAGAAGAAATTGAACCTTAAAGAATCTATCAGAAATTCTCTGGTCAGCCTTTTATTACTATCTTGTCTTGAGCCCTTTTTTTTAATGACATCTATTATCAGATTGAAATGGCGATTGAGACGCTGCAAAAGTCTGACGGTCTGTCCACTCACAGAAGCTCTCTTCTCAACAGCCATGTAAGTTGCCTCTTCTTCATGTACACTAATCTCTTGCTTGTTCTGCATGTGTTGCTTGCCTCTAAATGCTTGTTTTATTTACTTATTTATTTTGCTTTTTAACCTTCCTTTCTCAGCCCCTTGTGATCTCTGTATCATTTAGTGACTATTTTGTACAGTGGAATATCTAAAAAAAAAAAAAAGAACCCCCAGTGTAATGCTATCTTATTAGGTTTTTGTACTATGTTGGTAGAGGTATATCATAATTCAATTTAATAACAACCTGCCATATATTTATGAAAAGTAATTAATGGGGATGTTAAATATTTAAATTGTTCAAGTTTGATATTTATTTACTGTGAAGCAATATGTGTAATGTGTGTGTCTATGTCTGAGCCTGAAAAATAGATGTCTACTTGTGTGACCAGTAATATTCTTTAAGTAGGAAAAAAAGATTATTAATGTCAAACCCAATGATAAACTGTTAGAAAATAATTTATTTACCAGAAAGAGTCTATGAAGTGGGTAGTAAATGAGCAACCCGGTAGATGAGTTCAGGTACTAAGACCTAAGGAGAAATGAAAGTGTGCCAAAAGAAAATGTGAGGTTGTAGATAAGCCATAAATTGCTCATCATTGAGATAAAACAGAATTACCATTACTATTTCTTGAAGCTTTTCACTGCTATCCAATGCTATCCTATGACACTGGTAAGTGTAAGAAGGATGATGTCAGATTTGTGAAATTATAAACATTTTCATTGACTGTTCAAATTTGGGAAACCAATGAAAATGCTGGCTGGACACGGTGGCTCAAGACTGTAATCCCAGCACTTTTGAATGCCAAGGCGAGAGGATTGCCCGAGTCCAGGGATTTGAGACCAGCCTGGACAACTTGGTGAGACCTCGTCTCTACAATAAATAAATTAAAAAAAAAATTAGCCTGACATGGTGGTGTGCGCCTGTAGTTCCAGCTACTTGGAAGGCTGAGGCAGAAGGATCACCTGAGCCCAGCAGGTTGAGGCTGCGGTGGCTGTGAGCGTACCACTACACTCCAGCCTGGATGACAGAGTGAGACTCTGACTCAAAAAAAAAAGAAAGAAAAGAAAATGCTGATTAAACATGTCTTTATAATGATTTCTGAATATACAGGAAAAAGGTTAAATAGACCTGTGACTTAAATCTATTATAAATAGATCTTCTGCTAAATTAATATTATTTGCATTTTGGTTTGAATTAGAGTTTTTCTCCCACCTAACAGTGTGTTCTTAAATTTAGGGATAAAATTGTTATAACTTCTTATTTTTTTCCATATGTTATAGCTGAAAAATCCAAAATGAAAATAAATGAAATACTTATTTTTTAAATCAACCTAAAATCTTTAGCTCCTAGAAAATGTTTTTACTGTGCTTTTGAAATATTTGAATTTTGGAACACCTAAGTTTTATAATTCAAAATAACACTAAGTACCTCCTTATGTTCTTTAACATTTGTTTTTAGATTAAGTATTTTATCTTGATTTTTTTTTTCAGAGAAAAGTATGGCAAACAAAAACAGGTTAGCCAATTTGTAAAATGCCTATAATTTTGGTGAAAATTGTAGATATAAACTTTAAAATAATAGTATATATTTTGGCCTATCTTTCTGGAATAGTTTAAGATAAAAATATACTTTTTTCCCTTTCTGAAAATTTGTATTCAGTATGTAATTCTTTTATGTGTTTCATAAGTATATTCCTGCTGTTGGCATGAGTCTGTGATTGTGTCAAAGGCTAATTTACTATATACTACTATGCTGTGAGTGTCGGGGGATGTTGATCAACTAACTGGTGTTTAGGCTTTGCAAATGGCAAGTGAAAGTGTTCTTTATTTTCAATCAGAAATGTACAAGGACATAAGCAAAAACAAACAAACAAACAAAACCTGAAGTTTCCGGTTATCCTTTGCAGCTTTTGGACTTCCAAGTTGTGCTTTGATATTCAATTCATAGTTCATTTTTATTTGAGTTATACAGTATAATTCAGAAAAATGTGATATGTTTCATTTTTAACTTCAACTATTCATCTTAGTTAGCATTTTTATGAATAATAATGTGGGTATAAGAATGTGTTTTTATATATTTTTAAATGTATTTATTGATTTGTTTGAAACTTTTTAACTTTGTTGGGGTTTTCAAAAATGATTTTTCTCTTATAGAATTTATGAACTAATATTTAAGGTTAATGTATGAATTAAGCTGCATAAACAACAGACAAATGTTTATTACTCTATACCTTCATATTTTTTATTACATAGTGTGGCAAATCTTCCATACTGTTAACAACTGCCAGAAGCACTTTAGTGTATAAAAAGTGTAAGCATACATGTTGTTAATGCAGTGATAATCTTCTCCAGCTATCTTGATTTTTATTACACCTCTGAGGTACAGTGAAGTTCATTCAAAAACACATTTATAGTCAAATCTTTAGAAATACAAATGATTCCACATATGGTTGTAAAGAGTGTAGAAAGGATCAGTGCTTCTGCTGACTAGTCTGGCAGTAGTTTCTCCATGAACACAGAAAAGATCTTGTTGTCTTTTTGTCCTCCTTGGAATGGTGATGATGCTCTTACTCCTTGTTAGATTTATCTGAACAACTGGAATTAGCTATTGCATGCATTCTAGCTGATAACTACTTGCTAAAAGTATTCTCATTGATAACTAGTTGAAAACTATTTGTGAACCTAACTGGTGATTTTCTACTATGTAGAAATTTTTCATTGGAGAGGATTTTTAAATGTCGACAGACTCTGTTACCCTTATGGCTCCCTATGTATTGCATAATACAGAATTGTTTGAGATTTGTGGGATTCTTTGTGGTGAACATGAATTCAACTGTATGATTATTCCCTGATTTATCAGTTTTTACAAAGACTCGATTTCATTATGCAAATTATTAGGATAAATTATCAATATCCCATATTTACTTGTTTTTATTTTTATTTTTTATTTTTTTCGAGTTGGAGTCTCACTCTGTCATCCAGACTGGAGTGCAGTGGCACACTCGTGGCCACCGAAGCCTCGCCCTACTGGGCTCCCGCTATCCTTCCACCTCTGCCTTTCAAGTAATTGGAACTACAGGCGTGCACTACTATACCCAGCTAATTTTTGATTTATTGTAGAGATGAGGTCTTGCCAAGTTGCCTGGGAAGGTCTCGAACCCGCGGACTCAGGCAATCCACTCGCCTCAGCCTCCCAAAGTGCTGGGATTACAGGCTGAGCCACCAAGCCTGGCTTTTTTACTTGTTTTTAAAGAAGCATGTTAATTACGACTTTTGAACTGAAAAGTCTCTTCTCATTTTATTTTGGGATATGAAATAGAAAGTATTTCATATTCTCTTTATAAATTTGATTATTTTCAGTATTTCTGAAAATTCTCATTTGGATTAAATCAAATAAATGATTCCCCCAGCTTCATGCTTTACTTTTTACCTTTTTGCGCACATTAGAAGATAGGGTAGGTATTATGTTTTGTATCCCATTTTCAGCATATTCTTAAGAGAATTAACATGATGGGAATTATTTCAGTGCTAATATCTCGTAGTCAGTCAGTAAATATTTATTGCAAGTGACAGTTCTAAGAGAGTAAGAATTTTTGTATGTTTGTTCACCAGTGCATCTCTAGTGCTTATAACTGTGGCTAGTACATAATAGATACTCACTCAATATTTGCTAAATTAATACACAAAAGAAACAATAGAAGGAAACAGTCCTTATCTTACCTTCATTATTCTAAGATGCCTTTGCCAATCATACATGAATTGATTTGGAGATTCTTATATTCATTGTATTGTTTCCTTTGTTTTCAAGTTTGCTTAACTAGGTATATGTGTAAACATCGTTGGTAAAGGGTGGTCTTTTTCTGGCATACCATATGAGTAAAGAATATATGGTCACTCTGTCATTTCCCCATGTGCAATCTTCAGTTGAAGAGTTGATGATTTTTTTCCCTCTAAACAATCTAATCCCTTAAAAAGTTCTAGCCAAGAGTGACATTATTCATATCCTTGTATTTTAGAATGGTACTTTTGGTTTGACTTTACAGAATTCTGTCTCTTAGTGTAATAATTTTTTATTTAAGTGTTTTTATTTCTAGTGTTTTGTACATGAAAATGCTATAGGCAAATGATGTATAGTCTACCTAAATCAAATGAGAATATTTAATTCTTTTCTTTACAGACTTGAGTTATTTTATGCTCTTTCTCAGTAGCAATTAATTTCAATGAGCATTTAATAATTAAATTGTGTTCAATTTGAGATATTTTAGATGGTAAATTTGAATTCAGAAATGTTGTTAAATGGTTCCCAACTTTCACATAATGTTTTTAAGGTTGTGCAGTTTTTTAAAATTCTATTTGGAGTATATAAGAAGCTTTAGCCATATATTTTATATACTTTTCACAATCTAGCAAATAATTACTTCATTATTTTTGCTGGTTTTAGCTACCAAAATACAATCAGCTCAAAGCAAAACCTTGTTTTTTACTCACTTTTTTTTACTCTGCTATATTGTAAATATAAGTTATTATAGAAATAATGCCTGTCAAAATGCATATCATCAGTGAACTGAACTTAAAATGAATCGTAAGTGATAATAATCCATCTGGGAAAAAATGCCAAATGCTACATTTAGATGTTAATTGGACAATGCAATATATATATTATTTGTCAATCAGGATTTCCCTTTGGGAAAAATAGGAGTCATTCATCTTTCTAATCTATCTTGATTAGAAAGATTCTAATCTATCTTGATTAAGATAGATTAAATGCAAAAGTTGAAAGATGCAATTATATTGGTTTCCACTCTCAGATAAGTTTGTGTTAGTTCATTAGAAGAATAATCAAGTTGTAAAGATAAAGGTTAGAAGTTCCTATGGTATTTTATGAGTTTTTTAAATTATAAATACAAGCAAACATTTTACAAGACATTTTAAAAGAGTAGAATAAATAGTAATCGTTTAGTAATAAATTACTAAATGCTGGG